CCCACCCATCCACCCATCCATCCATCCATCCACTCATCCAGCAGATAAGTGAAGCACCAAGCAAATGTTTCTCTCCTGTATGGATCAGTGGATGGATGGCTGGATGGATGGGTGGACGGATGGATGGGTGGATGCGTGAGTGGGCACCTTGCACCCATTTCCCCACAGAGTTCAGACAGCTGGAGAGACAGTAGCTGCAGGCCCAGGCAGCGTGGGGTGAGAACAGGAGCAGCTGCTCCCTCCAAGGTACGAGGCCATCTGTTGAAGAGTGTGGAAAGATGGAGGGGACCCTGCCCCAGGGAAGCACTGTGGAAAAACCCAGATGGGCCTGGGAGAGACAAGTCCTAGAAGGTTAGGGCTCCCACTGGTGGCCAAGACCAGGGTGACCTTACACTACTGAGGTCATTGGGGGCGCTTGGTGCATAGAATTAGGTAGACTTCCTCTCCCTGTTCACACATCTGTGTGCTATTTAAAGTTTTATAGTTAGTAATTTTATTTTATAATCACAAAAGAACTAAAAGAGGAGAAGAAAGAAAAACACTTGCAGTTCTTGTAGTCCGAGACCAGGGGACGCACCCACACACCCGGGGTGGACCAGGAGAGCTCTGGGTGGGGACAGGTGGGCGGTGTGCAGACCCGCATTACCAGTGACCACCTCCAGGGGGCAGCAGAGGCCACAGAACGCCAGGACAGGGCTGGAGGGCTGCCAGGCAGGGGACTGTCCTTGTGTCCCTCTGCCTGTCTGTATTTTCCATCTCTCCCTCTCTTTGTGGTGTCTCTGCTTCTGTCTCTCTTTTTTCTTTTCTTCCTCTTCTCTGGTGTCTCTCTTCTTTCTTTCTTTCTCTGTCTCTGTCTTTCTCTTCTCTGGTCTCTCTGTCTTTCTTATGTGCCAGGACATTTTTCCTGGGCTGGTCTCGAACCTCTCCTCTCTCCTCTCTTCTCTCTTCTCACTCTTGTCTCTTCTCTCCCTCTCTCTGTCTCTCTCCCCCTTCCTTATCTGGCATCTCCCTCATCTTGTCATGTAAGGACAAAGCGCTTTGTCCTTCCAAGCTATTGGCAGCTGTGTTTGGTGTCACAGACCCCTGCTGACCACGTGGTGTGGACCGAGATGCAGGCCCAGCCCACAGACTTCTGGGGAGTTTATTGGCCAGAGCGCTCCGGTGGCAGGGTCGTGACATCAGCACGGGACCAGGGACCACATGAGCATCAGAACCAGGTGGCAGAATTTGGAAGAGGTCACCAGGACCATGATGGGAACAAGAGTCATATAGGGGACGTGGGGGGAAAAATGGCCCAAACCTTGTATGCACATATGAATAAACGGAAAAAAAAAGTCACACAGGCTGCCCAGCAGGCAGTTGTTATTAGGTCTCAGATTTAGCTTTGACCTTCCTGGTCGCCCTGGAGAAAAGGGAGACAAGATTGAGCACACAAGTTCCAGCTCCTTGTCCCTGGAGGCCTGCTCAGATAGAAGGGGGCTTTCTAAGTCCCTGACAGCCCAGCCACTTCTCTCCAGGGCTTTCTGGAGGACTCCAAAGTGTCCCTCGCCCTGTGGCCAGGCATCCCCAGAGGGCTGGACTGCAGGAAGGGGTGGCAGCAGTGGGCAGGGCCCTGCTCTCCCAGGGCTATGTCTAGGACACTGAAGGAACAGGGCTGTTTGTTTTGTTTTTGTTTTTAGCTTAAAAAAAAAACAATTACAGTTTTCATGCAGAAAAAGGCCCTTTTTGGAGCACAGTTCTGTGAAGTGTGAGGATTTTTTTTTTTTGACAGTGCCGGGGTTTGAACTTGGGGCTCTGTGTTGGCTAGGCAGCCACTCTACCGCTTGAGCCTCCTTTCGCTTTAGTTTTCAGATAGGGTCTCATGTTGTGCCTGGACCTCAATCCTGCTGTTTATGTTTCCTGGGTAACTGTGTCGGCAGCTACACCCACCACGCCCAGCTTCTTGGTTGAGAGGGGGCGTCTCAGGCATTTTT